ATTGTGGGAAAATTCTACTACCAGTCCTTCATCACCTTACACGAAATTGGGTGAATACATCTCATTACACCAATTCACTTTATACCTCATCAAAGAGCTCAGAGGTAGATGAGCTTATTGAGTTTTGTTGACTCGTTAGCTGACTATGTTGTAAGCATGATGCTGTGTTTTGATGATGTTCGTGTTACGACGGACGAAAGGTGGGCACGTTTGTACCGGAATCGCAGGAAATTGCCTCGGAAGCAGCATCTACAAGAATAATTAAGTAAAGCCAATCGACGAGCGCCGTCGTCTTCTGGTGGAAGCGACGACATGCGAATCTCTTTCCCAAACACTTTCACTCGAAATGGCCGTAAGCTCAACATTGATGAGACAATAGATTGCTCTAAAGCCAACTTTTTTTCGCAAAGCCACAAACGCCCTTTACTCGTCTCGTCAAAACAACACGACATGTTGGCCAACCTCGGTTTCGTTTCCATGGGCCGGCAGACGATTTGGCTGCGGGGCTCGTGGACCAATCGGTCGCGGTGATCGCCGCAAAGGGGGCCTGCTTCGCCCTCTCGCCCCGGACTCGACAGCCTCCAAGTTGTCCGGCAACAACGGCGGGCCAGCCAGCTCCTCGTCGGGCGGTAGCCAGGCGACTGCGGGCACGACGATCTCGTGTAGGCCCTCGAGACGGGCCAGACAGTGCCAGTGGGCGGCGTGCAGCCGAGCCACACGCAACAGCAGTTCGGCGGCGCGCTGCGCCGGCGGACGCGACCGCTCCACCGGCGACAGCAACATCAGCCGCGGTGGTACCGACTGCGAGTCCGACTGGCAGGTGGAGGTCGGCTGCGGCTTCGACTGGGCGTCCGGTGTCGGCCGGCGGGCCTCGGCCGAGCGGAGGAGGGCTCGAACGCAGGCCTCGACGCAGTCGCAAAGGCCGCGCAGCTCGTAGCCGCCCTCGAGGGCGAGCACGAGGCGCGTGCCGGCGATGTCGGGCTGGGCGAGCAGGCGGGTCATCCAGCCGAAGGCGGCCGGGCTGACGCGGTATCCGCCCAGCCGGCTCGGGTGGCCGAGGGCGGCGTCGAAGCCGGCCGAGACGAGCACCAGCCGCGGCCGGAACTCGCGCGCCACCGGCAGCACGATCGTGTGGAAGGCGGCCAGGTACTCGGCGTCCGACATGGGCAGGCCGGCCGGCCAGGCGATGTTGATGGTGTAGCCGAGGCCGGGCCCGACGCCGGCCTCCTCGGGCGCCCCGGTGCCCGGGAAGAAGGCGCCCTCGTCGTGGCGATGCAGCGAAATGTAGAGCACGCTCGGGTCGGCGTAGAAGATCGACTGGGTGCCGTTGCCGTGGTGCACGTCCCAGTCGAGGATGAGGATGCGCGCCGCTTCGGCGGCCCGCGAGCCCGGCCCGAGGCCGAAGTCGAGCCGGCGCGCGGACTCGAGCCCGGGACCCGTGAGCGACTGGACGCGCCGAGCCGCCAGCGCGATGGAGTTGAAGTAGCAGAAGCCCATCGCTTGGCCGGGCTCGGCGTGGTGCCCGGGCGGGCGGACGAGCGCGAAGCCGTTGGGCGCCAGGCCGAGGAAGACGCGGCAGGCCAAGTCGATCACACAACCGGCGGCCAGACGAGCCGCGTGTGCTGTGTGCCCCGACGTGTGCCAAGCGGTGTCCGAGTCGACGCCGACGCCGCCACACGCCATCCGGCAGAGGCGCAGCAGGCCGGGGTCCATGCGCGACCGGCCCGCGGGGCTCGAGCCGAAGAGCAAAGTGTAGACGTCGCCGTGGGCCAATTGCAGCTCGCTGAGGGCGGCGCGACGGCCGGGCTGGTGTCGACACCGGCTGGCCAGACCACATGACTTGGTCGCCGTGCCGACAAGGTGAGAGACGGGAATGAAAAAAAAATAATATAGACCTTTAGAAGTGGGTTGACCTCGTTGTCACAACTTAGCCTTGTGCTCAGGGAGACTATGTAGAACGCACCTAGTCCGAAGTCGTCTGCCATAGTAGTTGTCATGATTC